TGTCTGAAAAAATCCTGCTTGTAGCCTTGACAAAACCCTCTGAAGGTCGCCTGTTTCAGTTCTACATCCAGGAGGAGGGTGTGGGGAACCAATCATTTAAACACAAAAAGAAACAAACAAAAACAATAGATTTAGAAACACACCAAGGCATCTGCACAGTAAAGCCTTCGAGGATGGGGAATCCCGCAAATATCAATCAAGGTAGGGGAAAGTGTCAGAGACGGCCAGTCTGCTCAAGCTGACCCCGTCTGCTTCTCCCTGTCTCCGTGGGCACATGATGGCTATGGTTCTCTTAAAGGCAACAGCAGACATTATTATGAACAAGAGTTCAAATAACAGCACACAATCTACACTAGGCTAGGAATGAACAGTACAGATCCATAAAAACATCAGAGCCCAAGAACACGCTTACCAATGCTCTCATCCAGAAAAAAAATATAGAGAGATAGATAGCCAAGGACCAAGCTCCAACATGTAACATACAAACCAAACTGAGTACAAAGGAACAGTGGGCATCTCAGATGTGGCCTTGGCTCTAAGACTTCCTGGCTCTGTTATTTGGTCAGGTCCCATGGGTAAGCTTTCGTAAGCCCCATTGTCCTTGTCTAAGTGAGCTGAACTGTAGGATCTATGAGATACCACTCACGTATTATGTTCTGAGCTATGAGACTTTAACATATTGAATTGAAATTGAAAATTTCCTTGGGAAAGCCATACAATAAAGGGCTTGGCTTGCCATTAGTATGTGAAAAATATCAACTTGGAGATGAGGGCTTTCATCAGAGACCTCTACCACACACACACTCCCCTTCAATCTTTTGCTAGCCTTTTGGTCATCATCAGTATAAGGACATCATTTCTTGCAGGGGACATCATTTCTTGCCTCGTTTGTAGACTCCAAGATAGAGTGGCCAACTGTCACTCATCAATCAATAGCAAAGCTGACATTTCTGAATGAAGAGCAGAATGAAGGAACCAGGAGAAACTTCAAAGCCTGACTTCTACATGTAATTTTCCAGTATGGAACAGCTCCGGATCTCAAGGTCATAGAGTAACTGGAAGAATGAACCCGACACAGGCTAGATGGACCGTCTACCACCTCCTCACAAACCCCATGACCTAGATGGCCCTACTTAGGTTGTCTTTTCCTGGTTGTCCTTGGTTTCATGTGCTGCTTCCTCCAAACACAGCTCTCCAAACACAGAAACAATGCCTTAATGCTTTCTGTGGAAGCTGATAGCCATTGGCATCCCATGGTTGGTCGAGGTTGGTTTCAAGTCAGTTCAATAGCCCATAGAATTCCTTACTTGCTACACTTACCAGCTGACAGCTATTCATTCCCTTGCTTGTATATTTAAGCCTTCTGGAAACAATACTATCTAAAGCACAAGTGGTTTTGATGCCAACTCTAAAGCAAGTGGGCAAGCACAATCATCCTTAAACCCAAGGAAACCAGTGTAAACTGAACACTTTGGTGATGGTTTTATATGAATCTTTACCCAAAGGCCTTTAGTTATCTTAGAGATTTTTTCTCCCGACAGCACCGTTACAACCTCCTACATAGGATCCCCAACAAACTTAGGACATCAAGTTGGTCTTCCAAGGGATAGTTCCGAGGCTCCCAACCCATGTAACTATCAAGTTTCAGGATGCGGTGCTAAAGAATGGTTGGTTAGAATGGAGGCTCAGCAGTCTTTTCAAACATGACTGTCTCAGGTGGACTAGGAAGTGGATGATAGGCAGGTCTAGACAGGTCAGTGACCAGGCCCTGAACTACAGATGTGCGGTGCCTCGGCCTAGATAAAGATCTCCATGCTCCAGACATCCAGCGATTCCCCTAGATCCACCTAAGATCTTGAGCTGGGTCAGGCTTCCTCCCCAAAGAACAAGGTTCAGGAGTTGGTTTTGTGCCTAACAAGCCAGTTACCTCTTCCCTAACTCCTCTTCCATCCAAGGACTGTGCACATATGCAGTTTCCCTGCCATCTTCACTACATAATAACACCACAGCAGAACCACCAGGGAACTATCCCGCATTGTAAAAAGAAGGAAAAATAAAGTTCAAATGGAGCAAAGTTGCTTGGAGTGACAGTCCCCAGATGATGGCTGCCCTGCATCCAAGAGCCAGGAGCTCACTGACACACACTACAGATCTTGCCACAGCCCAGTTCAATGACCGGTGTTGACATCCCATAACCCTCAGGAACAACTTGCTGGCCCAGCCTAGCACTGCGGTCCTCCGCACACTTTTCTCATCCCTATCCCGTATTTCTCTTCTTGACGTTTCTTGCTCCCAGCCAAGAAGCCCAGATTCCCTCTTCCTGTCTCCACATGCAGACAGACCCTCATGCCCATTTCCAGTTCCTAGGAGGCTGCTGCCAGAGAAGCAGGCGTCCGGAGACGGAGACAACAGCAGTAGCCCCAGGGAACCTCCCCCTCTGCTGTGCCTTGCCAGAAAGCAAAAAGGAAAACATACTCACAGCTTATTTTTACTTTAATAATATTTTTGTGTAATTATCAAGGACTCTCAAAGCCTCTTGCCCCTCCTGTGTGGCAGCAATAATAAACACGCCCATTTTATAGGGGAGACAGGGGAAGTGTGGCCTAGCACACAGGAGGGAGCATGACTCATGCCCAGCAAGCCGTGAGTCAGATGAAATGACCCAGGCCTCCTGACACCGGAGCTGGGGGCCCGTTCACAAGGCCGGGCATCTTGCCTACTGTTACTTCCAAACATTTCGTGTGGTCCTCGGCTTCATGCTCCTTGTCCTAGCTCACTTCTGATTAAGTGTCTGCCATGATGCAAACAGGCCTTAGTCTTTCCTGAGTTCTAGCAGAACCTGTAATGTTTATATTTTTTACTAGGAGCCTTAGGCATCCCCAAAGGTGGGCTTCTTAAGCAACCTTGCCATGAGAATTCAGAAGAGTGGCCCTGTCTGAAAATATAGGGCAAGGCCAAACATCCAGCTGAGGTTGGAAGTGGGAACCTCATCCCAGAAACCGGGTGATGCTCTTCTCTAGTGGCTGATTCGATTCCCTCTCTCTAATACCCGGTGACAGTTTTGCTCTGTAGGGGCTGAGAAGCGTAACAGGAGCTATGGTGAGCTACTTCTTGTGTGATAAGAGTAGTTTGAAATCCTGGGAAGACCTGTCAGAAGAAAGTGGCCATGGGTCTTCCTGCAGGCCATCCCCAGGGAAGAAGAAAGGGAATAAAGGAGAGCCTGTCTCCAGAAGGTTAGTAAACAGGGTAGGGGTAGGGATGGCAGCCCCAGGACACCCTTTAAGGCAATCCACCACTTTTAGCAATCCAGGTACTTGTATAGAGGCCTTCAGTAGAGTCGCTGTATAATATATAGCCCAAACCAGGCATTTTAACTAGTGGAAGAAGCTACTCATGATTTATTTTAAGATCATACGTCGTTATATGAGGATAGACGGCATAAGCAAAGAAGGCAAATCAGGACAGGCGTTGGACGGACGGCCTTCGCCATCAGTGTTGAGGGTAACAAGGAATGACTTCTACCCAGGGAGCAACAACACCATGTGAAACACAGGCACAAAGGTCACAGAGGGACATAACCCAAGCCTGCCTGGCTATCCGGGGACATTAGAAGGGAAAAAAAAAACTTTAGGAAGAACTGTAAATTAAAGTGAGATAGAGGTGTGGGTACCTGAGCTGGGATTTGAGGGCTAGAAGGGATTTGAACTTGTGGTAATAAGAAATCAAACGGAGCCCATAGAGGGCAGAGTCCTCTGTAGGATACGCAGGGAAAGGCAGAGTCAATTTGATGTGACTGCAGTAGACCAGGGCAAGAATGACAAGAAGGAGGTCCAGGGCCAGGTTGATTTTGGTTCTAATTACCAGACACTGACGTGGACAAATGGTCCTTCGTTTCTAAGCATAGTTGACCAAACCAATGTTTGCTTTGTGACCAGCCACCACTGGTTTCCCCAGGCCAGTGGTTCTCGCCCTCAGTAAGGGAGTCTCATCTGAGGAAGAGGCCACCACTCTGGTCACTCCCAAGCACTTTCTCTTGCCAACCACTGGAGAAGCAGGTTTGGACTTTCATAGGAAGTACCATTTTGGCAGTCCAACAAGCCCAGACAAATGAAGGGGGTGGCTTTTAGGGGCTCTCTGCTTTTACATATTTCACCTTGGAAGCATCCATGTGAGACCTCTCTGCTTGCTTCTTAGAACCCTCAGCCTCCCTTTAGACCTTGGGGTCTTTCAGAGACCTGAAGGGTCATGGGATCACAGAGGGCAAGACCTCACTGTTGGTGAGGTAGGTTAGGAGAGAGTAAACAGGAATTGAAGAGCAGAGAAATGATTGACAGCCGTGCCAAGCACGTATCAACCAGACCCCGTATATGGAACACAATAAACTTTCCATCCAGCTCTCTGAAATGACAGAGGAATAGAGGAGAGGGGAGGAGTAGCAGTAGGGACTGGGAGGAGTAGAAGGGGGGGGGGCTTCACCAGAACTTTCTTCTTCATCCCACCTCCAGCCTTACCCCCTCTCTTATTATTTCCTCCCAGCCCAGGAAAATGGGTCTGAGGCTGTGCGGTAGGGAAGGGCAGCGGGTGACATCGCCACAGACGCTGTATCTCGGCCCTGCAGGGTTCCTGGGCCTTTAAAGGGCCACTTGTAAACTCCTGGTGCCAAGCAGAGGCAGCGGGAGGAGCTGGGGCGCGGACAGAGTGGGGGGAGACTGGTCTGCCTTCAGTGCCTAGAAATCAAAGCAGCCAACCTTGGGCTTTTTCTTCCCTTCACACTGAGGCACTTTTATTGGCGAGATGAAGGGAGGCAGAGAGGGCCTACAGCCCTCGCTTCGCTTTTGGAGGTTAATGACCCAGTTAGCAGCTCTTGGCTGAGTTTCCGACATTTTGCAGACATCAAGCCCCGCGCCTCTGCCAAGTACATTCTGTTCCCTGGAGCTCGTCCAATGCATCTCAGATTACTATGTAATGCGACAAAGAGGGAGAGGTGGCTGGGAGGGGCCCGGAGAGCTGGGCGGGGTGAGCGGGCGGTAGCCGCGAGGGCAGGACGCAGAAGCCGGCTGGCTGGTAAGGGGGATGCCACTCTAAATAGAGCAGCTTCCCGGGAGTCGCATCCCTCGAGGGGCTTCTTAGCAGGAGAGTGAGCCCGATGAGGGTGGATAGGTCCTGTCCTCCAGGAATCCGGCCCGCGGAGCCCCGCAAACTCCAGGATACCGCTGGGGGTGGGGTGCAGGAGACGGGGCGGGACGGCCCGAGGTGGAATCCAAGGGGCGGGCTTAGGGGCTCGGCTCCGCCCTCGAAGCTGCCCCACTCCCACCCCTGCAGCTCCAGGGGTGAGCAGCCTGCGAGCTAATTTTAGACCTGAATGGAAAGCGGCGCTTTTGAATGATCTTGTTGCTCCCACTGCCTTTCGAGGCTGAGGAGCAGGTGCGGCCCTGCTAGATACAAAGTGATTCATTTAAAAGCCCTCTGTCACGCACGCTCGCTTACTGACACACAGGAATCCTTGTGTGCTCCACCACCCAGAGGATTCCAGCACTGGCTTAAAAGGATTTGAGCCCAGGAATGCAGGACAGAGACCAGGAGACTTCTCATAGCTCCTCATCACTCTTCGGTAATCTCACCGAGTAGATGAGAGAGTCCTAGGCCTTCTCAAAATCTTTAAAAGGAGGGTCTTGTTTTACATTCACAGCTGGAGCAGTGGAGGCAGGGACATGTTCTGAGAAGTGCCTGTGGGAGGGCCAGGGAGTCAGAGTGAGGCTAAAGGGAAGTTTGAGGTCCTGCCAACCCCTTTCTCTGTCTGACCAGATTGGAGCCTGAAGTCTCCAGATCCGAACCTCTATCACGGCACATAAGAACACCTTTTCTCCCCAGGTGTGACACCTACCTGTTGTACCCCCTAGACCCAGTCCCACCAGTAATCCAGCTGAAACCAGCAGGCAGTTAACCGATCTGGGAACAGGCTGCGCTGGAAACTGCCCATTTCTCCGTGTGTTATGTGTGAGTTAATCCCGATAGGGCTCTGTCAGTACAAACCCAGATGAGGAACTACAGAAGGGGCAAAACACAGACTTTCTTCCGTGTCAGCATCTTACGCCCACCTCGGGTTCATAGCCACAGTTAGCCAAGACTTTTCATGCCTGGATGACCTACTCCAGGCTGCATTAGCACCATCAAGCCTTGTTCCCATTTGATGGAGTCCATGCAGAAATGGAGTCCTGCGGGGAGGAACTGGCTGGCTCACCATCATCTGACGATGAGTGTCTGTGGAGAGAGCCCAAAACAGGCCTGACTGGATCCTGAGATGAAGTCAATACATTTCTTCCTTAGGTCAAATTGTAAAGCCCACTCAATCGCAGAGAAAGATTGCTGTAAGCAACCTGGGTAAGCAACCCCAGCCTCCCCTCTAGGTCTCCCACATCCTCATCTCCCATTCTTGTCCGCATTGGGCTCAGAGAGATGTTGTTTTCTCCAGCTTCTAAACTCAGTCAGTGCATCTGACTTTCAATAAAAAGAGAGTCCATCACATCACCTGTACCCACCAGTGCCACCTCCCCTTTGCTGACCGTCTTGGACCTAACCTCCTTTCCACTGGCCACTCCAGGACTTCCATCAGTGTCAATGGATCAAAAGGCAACATGGAGTCGCATATGGAAAGAAACAGAAATTGGGGGTAGAGATTATTGCAACTGCTTCTCACTTGCTGCTTACAAGTTCTATATCTTGGGCGTTGTAAGTTCCCATTCTCCCCAAAATCCACTCGGTTTCGTCCAATCCTTTGAACACAGCAAATGAAGAACTACAATAATAAAAATCTCACATGGCCATGCAATACTGTATGTGTCTGAACTGGCAGTTGTCGCGTTTCTTTGAGAACAGGCAAATGTGAGCGTTCTTGTACCAGCCGAGGTGCCGCTCTGATCTGCAGTACGCACTGTTCAATCTGTCCAGGTCTCGGCTTTGTTCTCTGTGAAAATGGACATAGCATGGCTTATTGAGGCTGTGCTTCAGGGCTGACTCAGGAAGGAACACAGGGCTCCGAGAGTCTCTTCAATCGGAGTACCCAATTGAGAGTCTGAATTCTATTTTTTGCCTTGGATCCACTTTTAAGGTTTTGTGTGTCTCAATTCCATAAAGTCCAAGAGGATAACAATAGTACCCACTTTGTAACTATGTGGATGAAATAAGTTTAAGTGCACAGGGCTGAAAGATATGCCTGGCACATAGTGTTCAGTAAGATGAGATGAAACATATGTATAGGGACTTCCAAGAATAATGCCTATCACAGAGACCATGCTCACTAAATAGCCTCTGTGTGTTTTTCCTCGTTTTTAGAATGGAATTCTCCTATGATTAAATTTGAATATTGTATATGAAAAACATGTGGGGCTCTGTAAGACGGCTCACAAACTACAATATTAACTCAGGAGCTAGTGCACTGATTTAGCAAATATTATGTATGTATTAACCATGTGCGATCAAACGATGTGCAGAGGTAAACAATACCCATGCCTTCAAGGGAACAATAAGCAAGTGTGGACCGGTTATAAATACACAAATATCTGATGCCAGGGAAACCTGGTGCTCGATTTGACTAACACAAAAGACCAAGTGTCATAAAGCATCCAGAAGCAGAAGCCTAGAGGTGGGATGAGGATTCAGGAGTAAAATGCAGTCATGGTAGAAAGAACACAATGGGGTTGGAGAGATAGCTCAGCGGTTAAGAGCATTGCCTGCTCTTCCAAAGGTCCTAAGTTCAATTCCCAGCAACCACATGGTGGCTCACAACCATCTGTAATGAGATCTGGTGCCCACTTGAGGAGGAGATCTGGTCAGTCATCCTCATCCACTTAGACCATGAAACCCAATATAGACAAGTTCAACAGAACCGCCATATACAGGCTGACCATGCCTGCTGCTGCATTGCCAGGGCATAGATTCTATTTCAATTTTTAGACACTTAGAGATGACAACAATTCCCAGTTTTAGAAACAAAAAGTAGAACCCACCTAGGAATGGGAAGAGCACATTCACCACACTGCATGATCGCCAGTGTTCAGAGAACACAACCCAATCAAAGAAGGGGCAAAATAAAAATAGCAGACTAAAGAGGGGAAACTGGGAGGCTGAGTGCTCCAAAGAGACCAGGGATAACAAGGAGGGTCCCAGAGGTCTCCCTTATAGCAACTGTTTCTGTATGCCTCTGTTTCTCATCTATGAAAATTTTGGAATAAAAAAGTTAGGCATGTTTGTGCATGCTTGCGATCCCAGCGTTCGGGAGGTGAAGGGAGGAGGATGGGGAACCTGAGGTCATCTATTACTTTTATAGAAAGTTTGAGGCGAATCTGAACCCCAAGAACAGAAATGAACAAAATGAAATGTACTTAGCACAACACTTGACACATAGTAGGTGCTATATGAACGTTCACATACTATTTCGTAGAAGACATTTTGAATGTGGCGTGTGCTATTTTAGATCACACCATGTAGATTATATAACTTGAGAATGTGAGATATTGTCAATCATCTTCACTCTACTTCTCTGCCCCGCCCTTTAGTCCCAGGTGTCTTTGACATGCGTTCTTCTCTCAGAGCATTGGCTTCCGACCTAGAGCATCCGAGCAGAATAGGTAAGGCAGGATGGGGACAGACTCCATTAGTGTGGGAATGCTGAATGAAACAGTTCAGACCCAACAAGAACAACTCCAACAGCTCACAGATACAGTCCAGAGCCTGGTAGGCTGTCTCAGCCAGGGACCAGGGCACAAGAGTTGGCATTGGAAATATCCAAGGTCAGAAGCTCACGCAGTGCTGAATCATCAGAGCAGGTTCCACCCTCTTTCTAGCAAAGACAGACCAGACTTTAGCTAGGAGGATAATACTGGGAAGGTAGATCATCAGGAAAGGAACATAAAAACCAGGCTTAGAGCAAAATCCAGGTAGAAAGGAACAGAGATTATAACAAATTTAGGGGTTCAGAAGAGGATAGACGTGTCTTATTCGCCTCTGACTACAAAAGCGAATAAGCAACATGAAAAAACTTGCTTATGGATACAGTAGGTTAAGGAAAAAAGTACAAAACCATTCGTGAGGATGATGTCACCATATTCAGGGGAGCTATCTCCTGTGTAGACAGGGCGAGGTGCAAAGGAGAGGACGAGGACATGGAAAGTGGGGGCTGTAACTATGTGTGTTGTGTTTGATTTCCTTTAGGAAAATGGAGATCTGAGGCAAATAAGAAAAACTGTGAGCATCTGCTCTTCCTGATGATAAATACACGGCATCTGTTATAGCCTTTCTGTATGATTACTATTTAATAATTTAAAATAAAGGCATAAAAGTAGTAAATATTTAAAATCTAATACATTTTATTAATATCTGTCACTGTAGAAAAATCTGGGGATTTTATGAATAAAAACATAGGGAGATAGTGTCTTTTAAGTGCTCCAGTGTTGGCGACCTTGCATGGTATTTCCAAGCATGGGAACTGGTCTGGCTCCAATAGGACCTTGGCAGAGGGTTTGTATGGTGATGCCCACACATATGTGGAAGGAGAACTTCTGGATTCTTTCGGTCATTTGGCCACGCATCCCTAACTGACCTTTCTGGTCAGAAAGTCCCGTCCCATTTCGATTTAGGAATTGGGATCTTGCACTCATACATTCTTACACACACATGGAGGGGGGGGGGGGAGAGAGAGAGAGAGAGAGAGAGAGAGAGAGAGAGAGAGAGAGAGAAATTGCTAACAAAGTTTAACGCTACAAATTCTACACAATAAAATTTATGGATTAAAATTTATGGATTTCATTTGGACAGACCAACAAAGCTCAACCAGCACCATCAACCAGGCACCTAGCGGCATTTATACAAACTACCCAACAGCAACAGCACCCATTCTTTCCAAGTGTGCTTGGCACATTCCCCAGGAGAAACTGTCCTGAGGCCCGACAGTTGTGTCTCCCTTGAAGCAGAGCTCTTCAGGTCCTCACTCAAACACAAGTTTCTTTTTATAGAAAAGTTTGGAGACATCTTGCCTCAGACTTCCACATGACAAGAAAGAAGGGCTGAAGTGCAATATGATAACAGAAACCCATCAATGTGGCTAATGGCCAACCCATTTGACAGGAGGCAGAAGCATAAACATGAGGGCCCGAGCAGAGCATTCTGGGACCATGTAGTTATGGGGGAAACAATATCAAGTTCAGAAAGGCCTTGAGGAATCGTGCATTCTATGCTAGACAGCTTCATAGAGAGAGGCTTCAGAGGCTTCAGCCGAGGAGGGTGCTGCCTGCTACTTACCCACAAGAGGCTCTGTGTGAGGCTGTTTCACTTCCCCTTCCTGGAGATTGACTTCCTCTTGGGCAAAACTGAGTCACTAAAATCTAGTAACTAGATCTCCAAGATAATTTCCATTTCTACCTTCCTGTTACTATTTTGGTGTCCCTTCTAATTGCCCGGGCCTTCAAACAAAGGGTAGCAGACATCAGAGGCCTACAGAGACTGAACTGTTCCCCCCCCCCACACACACACACACAGTCCCAGGGTATGTTCAGACATATCCCTAAGGGTTTCACGAGGACATATTTACAAACAGCTTCCAACAGGCAACACACTGACAGAATAAACTGTGCAAGAGAAATCCTCTATAGCACACAATTTAATTCGGAACAATAGACCACATGAGGGGGTATAAATAACTAATTATACCACACAACATGAATAGTTTTTTTGGACGATTGCAAAATTGGGGAGGAAGGAAATGCAATGGTATTTATATATTTGGGCTTTAGTCAAAGATTTCATCTTCACTCTTAGGCAATTTTACATACAAAATTAGCTCAGACTGGAACATGGTCACACAGCTCAAAACTGGCAGCAATCTGGTAGCCTGGGGGACAGCTTGCATCCAAGCATCAGGGAAATAGAATAGAGGGTTGACCGTGTTTTCCTGCAGTTCCTATAGGATGCTCTGGGGGTGGTACCTTGGTCCCTGCAATGACCCACAGAGAAGACAGCAGTAGAAATACAACATATTCCGGGATGAAGTCCAGCTTTGTTTGATATACACTCTGGCACACTCAATCCCACCCATTTTCCTGGACTTCTCCTGTTGTCCATGGCTATGCCAACCCTTACAAATGCAGAAACTGGGGTGTTCGTGTGTCATTGCATGCCCAGTGCCTGCTTTTAAAATTCACTGTTGGGCTGATTAATAAAATGAATAAATTATCGTCTTTACCCAGGCACGTATCCTTGGCCTAAAGGATAGCAGTTTACCACAAAGGACGCCTTATACATATCTTTACTGAGATACAAGGCTCTTTAAGCACAGAGGACAGAGAAGTTCATTTTAACCCTGGGGACTGTCAAGTGCCTTTACTTCCTGCATGCCTTTGCATACCCATTTTCTCATGCCTGGTTGCTCCTTAAATCCTAGGCATAACAGAAACGGGAAAGATAGCTATGGAGACAGACGTTCTCTCATAGTCTCTTACAGTAGCAATTTTAAACAAATGAATATAAATATTAATGCTGAGTTGTGTTATGTATTTTGAAGAAAAAGAATATGATATTTCAGTTAAAATGAGGCCAAATCATGGAAAAGGATGATGTGAACTTACTTCTAGGGACCTAGGGATGGCCTCTTTGGAAGTGGCATCACAATGACGAGGGTCCAGCTATGATCTTCAGGGGTATATTGTAAGTGCTTTGCATTTATTGAATAAACAAATATATCTTTATAAATGGAGTATGACTTAAGAAGAAACTTGAAGATTCTGAAAAATAGAGTTATGGAAGAAGAGATTTTTCAGGAGGATAG